CAGAGAAAATAGCTGCACTATTTAATAGCAGAGACATGTAAATACTTTGCATTACACTTTGAATCCACTACCTTAAAAGAGCTCCAATTTACAGATAGAAATGTCAAAAATGTTACAACTATCCCCGGTCTCCCCTACTTTTAGTTACTGACTTTGACAAAATGTAACAGTCCCACTGACCTGCAGCCCCCTTTGTTTGTGTGCCATTGGCCCCTTTCGTAATCTATTCATGAGTGCAGCTAAAAATCACGTAGGGGTGAGCACATGGAAAAATTCCTGTTTGTTATGACATTCACCACAAGACCATTAGCACTGTATAATCAAAATGAGAGTTATCCACAAGAATGATGTTACTGAATAAAAATTTAAAAGATTTATTGATTGCTGCTTGCAGTTACTAACTCATAAGCCTGTGGTGGTTCTAAGTACACTTTGTTTCACAGTTTCTCTCACTTCTTTTTGTTGTTTGCTGGTGCTTGGTTAGTGTCCAGGGTTTGTGAAGAAAGCAAATTTTTGCCTCCAGCACATGAAGGCCCCACAAACACAATTAGAGGCCCATCATATTTGTGTTTGGCCAATAGGAAGGCGGATCTGGATTTCTTGCGGGAGGGTCAAGTTATGAAGACACTGCTAGCGGGATACCGGAAGTTTCGCACCTAAACGTATCAGTTGTCAAAATGATGCTGTAGGAAGGTTGATTCAGACAAATAGGGATAGAATAAAATTAAATAAGATTACCGAACTTTGGTACAGCATTCATCAGCACACATCTGATAGGCAGAATCTGTGGTTCATTTTAAATGACTGCTAAAAACTATTTTCTATAGGTTAGCGTTTCTTCATAGTTTTGCCCATTATTTATGCCCTTTTGTTCTTTCTACATGTGTGTATAGGCGTCTGTATACAAGAATAAATGAAAAACCCTGTGCTTGACTCTGTGTTTAGATGTATAATTATGTACGCTTATTTGTTGTGTTTTTATCTGTGACAGTGCTAGTGATGTTCAAATAATGCTTGTCGTTTTATTGTTGATATTGTTGTTAAAAAGGATCTAAACTAACAAGCCGATTAGCGGATACGTTTTTTAATAAAATCCAAAAACACACGAGCGCCATACACGGTATAGGCGCGCTCATCGTCTTATTCTGAAATTCCCAACCGGATGTGGCCTTGCATAAATCCCGTTGGTGTTCCGCCTGTGGAAAAGCGACCGTTGGAGCGTTTTCTCTTCACCGTGCTCCCATCCGTTGTGTCCGTCAGCGGCCATATCTACTGTAACCGCATTCATTCATTTTTAGACGCACTGCTATTTTTTTCTTGAACTAAAAGACGGCTATTTAGTGAGAAAGCCGTGAGCATCTCGTTGTTTCGTTACCCTCTCGGACGTTTGTCGGTTTATGCCTCGGTGAGTGTCCGTTGAAGGCTGGGTGGTAACAGTTCGGCTTCACGATGATCGAGCGACCAGAAACCGCGGTTCCCAGCATCGCTGTAAGTACACCACTCTTCACAACACGTCTGTGGCTTTTTCCGCCAATTAAACTTATTATAATAAACTCCTCAACCGTTACCGTGGGTTTCTGGCTCCGCTGGTATTGACTTGGAGGATTGCAGACCAGGCTCCGTTAAAAAATGTTCCGTTTTAGGGTGGTTCAGATTTTTACAAATACCAGCCTTTGACTGAGACGTAATTTTCATCTCCTGCGATATGAATATAATGTGGTGAACACTCCGGCGTTAAATTTGATTGACCATATAATAAGTACTTCACTATATGGCATCATTTTAAAGCGAATCACGTCTCATTCCTCCTGTGTAGCCTCGTTTTTTAAATGAAGCGATGTTTGAATGACGAACAATGACTTTAATTTGTTTTAATATGTGGAGGTGGATTCTGTGTCAATTTACCTTTTGGACAGCGCAATTATGGTGTTGCTTATAAAATGTCACTGTTTTGAACAGAGCCTGGCTTGAGAGCTCCCATAACAGAGCAGCACGTATCGGGGGGTACGTGGTCTGGTGTCAATTATCGCTGTGTGCACAAAGAGATGGGCTTAGTGGGGTTTCTTTTAGGAGTATTTACACAGAGTTACTTGTCTAATTTTTAAACGCTGCGACTGTGAGACTCAGATCGGTTTGCTTTTCCATGCCAGAGTCCCTTAAAGAAATATCACTTTTTAATATTCTTAACAACAGCTTTGGCACAGTGGCCCTGACCCTCGGGTCAGTGGGGCTGTGGCCCTTTCAGTCCTCTTTATTTGCATGTTGTTGGCTTTGTTCAGGGCATTTTAAACTGACACTTAGATTTAGCAATGAGTCCCTGCTCACCACACAACACAGCACACATTGTATTTCTGCCGCATCTGTTTGTAATCCAGTACGAGGTGATTGGCAGTGACTCCCCCAGGCATAAAAGTGTGCACGGTGCTAAAAAATAATCAAAGAAAACATACATTCACTGTGCTCATATGAATCAACGTTTAAGCGATGCATTATTTAGCACACAATGCATTAATATTGAAGTTGAAAACAGCTGAGGAGGCAGTGAGAGGGCCACAGCATCAGCTGCTGCATGCATGAGGGGGTGGACTTGGCATCACAGATGATGTCAGTGAACCAAGCAGCTACTATCACCACTGGGTTAGACTGGGGGATGGGGTAGTATGAATGGTATGGACTGACTAGCCTTCCTCTCTCATCCCCCATTACTTCCTTCTTTACAGTCCCTTGCCTGTTGCTCAGTTAGTCACTTTCTCGTCAGAAATAGCCACACTGCAGCTGTTACACCAATGTGAATATTATGCGGAAATGTGATGTATGATAGTGCATGCATACTATTTTATTCATGTAGTGTCCCATCTGATCCACAGACTCTCCGCTAACCACCCACTCACACTTTTTTTGTGAGCTAAATGCTGACTGGTTTCACTAATACATGCTTCCATATAGTTAAAGATCCACTGCAGTGTGCTGTGTGAGCTACATGGAAACAGATCAACCATCATAGGTGGTATCTTGTGTAACCAGTGGCAGATTTGGGTGTGGGCAGCAGCTGGAACTTACTCTCATCTGGCAGGCGGCCACACACTTTGGCAGCAGCCCTGTTATGCTTCATTCAAGCAAGGTAATAACAGAGATACACTTACCCAACTTTTTTACTTGTCTGATGCAGTAGAGATGCCTTGGTTTTGGGTATGAGCTGATACTGAGTTCTAATTCAGAGCTAGTGTTAAATTAGTGAGCTGTATACCTCACCACGAGGGAACATTTATTTTTACAAAGATAGGAAAATAAATGAACCGAAGACGTCTAAGAATATACATTTACTGAATGTGGATTTATTATAACTAATAAATAAACTAAAATCAGAATCACCTGTTTTTCCGCTTTGTTTTTCCTGCATTTGTTTAATTTCAGCACAGCGTGAGAATTTTTATCTGTATACAGCTGATACTTATGGACATGCTAGTCTCTCCTTTCTCTATTCTCACTGTGAGTGCATCCCATCACACACAAACACATCAGGTGTGCAATGGAGCTCTAAGAGTCAGGTGATGTGAATTATTAAAAATCAAGGTGATCTCATTATGTAACTGTAAGTGTGATTAAAGTTTGCTAGCAAATGTTTCTGCTGATTTACACTTCAGAGTGAAATCTTCCACTTAACTGAGGAACCTTCTTAAACAGTTGCCATAACCTGACATACCTCCCTGGAAGAAGAAATAATAATTATAGCGTCAGCAGGAGTACTCACATATGTCTGGAGGTAGATTACTGAAACTATCCCTAATGGATGTGAGGGAGCGTACTGTGAAGTGCCCTCAGGGGAAAAAGAAAAATGGCTACAAGAGTGGGGACCCTGGAGGGGGAAGTCCCAGCATTTTATTTGTTTCTGTCTGCTGGCAACGTAAATAAAACATCGAGGCACAACCACACAGTACTTAACACATAATGCATCAGCATAAATGCCGGCAATGACGTTGGCCACTTATGTAGGTTACGTTGTAGGATCTAGATTCTAAATCAGACCATAGACTGAACATAACCACAGTGATGAAATGGAATAGAGGGTGAAGGCTAGGGCTGGGCTATATCATACCGTTCGCGGTAATACTGGTTTCAGCTATTGGTGTTTTGAGTTTGCTTTTCTTTCTAATTATGTGACAAACGTGGCTTTCTGTGAGGAACAGACACTCCAAGAAGTTTGTGCTTCACTTCTCCCAAGGTTAAAATGGTAGTATTTAGTGTAATTAGTCTGTTAGTGCTAATTAACAAGTATGGATGTATGTGCTTTTCATCCATGCAGTTTACAGATGTAGCTTGCTAACATTAGCTTCAGAATATGTATTCCAGAACCGGCTGCTGACATCCTCGTAATAACATCCATCTTTCATAAACAGTGTATACACGGTTTATATACGTCTATTCTTCTTTGTATTCTAAAGCAGCCCTTTTGAATTATGAACTGGAAGTGGATATTACTGGCTGCCCTCTTGTCACTGTAGCACAGAGTGATACCCTGGAGCACTTTGCACAGAGATATCCACTGTATATTTGGAGAACGAGAGAGTCAAACGAGTGGATCAAAGTACCACAGTGATGTGTCTTTTGCTGTTGTCCTTCATCATTCCTTTCTTGCTTCTCTATATCTTTATATCGTCATGCTTGCATGAATTTGCACTTGTGGATGACTATAGTGCATGAGATCAGCGTTCCATGCTTCTTCTTTTTCACACAGCTTTACTCAGGCCATGTGGCTCAGATGTGTTTTTCTCTGTTTGGTGCTGTGAAGATCAATGCTGCGTATGTAACACACACTCTACTAGCGTCTGTGTGACTCAGGCATGGAAACACTGGAAAGTGCTTCAGGCAAGTTCAGAGTAGTTAAGCCTGCTGTCGACCTGTGTTCATCCCTAGTATTGATTATTTGCATAGATTGCTTCCTTTTTTTTCCCTTCTTGCTGCTGTCTGTGAGCTGTTAATATCCACTGTTGATGGTGGTGTGTAACTTAGAGTTTTCTGAATATCACAGATCTAAGGCTTGTACCGTGTTAATATCAGGTTAGATCCGTGGCAGGAAGTTTCCCCGAGGAACAGGAACCTGATGTGTCATTTTTGTAGTTATAAATGTAAAAATATAGCTACAGCCAGCATGTTGTATAGAACGCTTTGAGTACTCCGGGAGAGTAGAAGAGCACTATATAAGAATCAGACCATTTATACTTACCATTAATACAATTTATTATAGTGTTTGTCCAGCATTTTAAAAACATGAAACTCCAGGCACATTGTTTTGCTTGTGGAATGGAGGCGTCCATTTTGTGACAAATCATCTAGCCTTTGCAGTGACTTAACATAAAACTTAACATAAAAGAGTTTAGCATAAAACTGTTGCACTTCAAATATGTCATCAAATTAATTTTTGTAAATTTTCAAGGGTTTGTAAATTTAAGGGTTTGCAGCAGATAACTTAATACTCCAGAGGAGTTTTTCATAAATGGACACAAGCACTAAAAATGTTAGTAAATGTACTAAAAAAAGCTGAAATAACATGGTATGAATCATTTGACTGCAGTCACAAAGAAGCTTTTTTTCTGTACCATATCTAAATTTTGTCTCTAAATGATTTGGGACTGATGTAAGTTGATATTTTTGTTTTAGCTCACAGATCTTCTGGCTGGGTTTGTGGCACTTTCTGGTTAATTGAGTGTTGTCGTTGGGTGGGTGGGCAATGTTTACACCCAAGTTTGTGAATGTGATTACTTGAGAAAGAAGGAATGAGCTTCAAATGTATACCATAGGTGTATGTACTAAAAATCTCACACAAGTTTGAATCTCAGCGACCTCAAAGTCAAAGCCAGAGGTCAAGATTTCTGAAAATCCTGTGACTGCGATAACTCAAGAAGGAACTCGCCTAGGATTTTGAAATCGATACAATAGGTGATTCTACTGCAAACGCCTGTAGCTCAGGATTTGCAGCAAGTTGTTGTTGTTTGAATCTTCTTCACATCTAATGTGGAAAAGAAGTAGATTTGATGGAACAACTCTTACGATATATGACAGCTTGAATGTCAGAGTGCATGATATCACTGTAGATACTAAAGCAAGCAAATGTAATTATAATGGTGGTGTCTGGTTCTGGGTTGGAGGGGCTTAAAGAAGTGTGTCTGAGGTCAATAGTTGATTCAAAAGTAGATGTGGCAGGAAATGGTTATCACTCTCTGTTTCAGTCTTTCTGAGGCATTCTCTGCCTTTTACCAAGAGTCAGCTGGGACAGTTGACACTAGTTACTGACTAGTTAAGTCAAAAACAAGAAATTCAGGAGCAAAACATCTGAAATTGATCGAGTGGTTAAATTTCTGCAATAAAAATATGTTTCCTACACTGGCAATGATGCAGTCCATTTTGAAAATTCTAATTTTCCAAATGGTTCAGGAAAAGACAAACGCACAAATTTTGACACTTTTCTAAAAATGGTTAAAGTGTTTATGGAATGGAGAAAGGGCTGCTGACTTTAGCTGTGGGTGGTTTTTAACCTCTCAGTGCTGCACTTTCCATCAGTGCCACGCCTGGCAGCCTCAGAGGTCAGCAATCGATGTGTTTGGAGGGCGGGGTTTTATTTTGACAGCAGGCTGGGAGATACGGAGAGGTAGAGGGAGATCAGTGATCCGGCCTGCCTTCAGTACGGCCGGTCTTTCATGCGGGACATGATGGACACAATTCACGTAGGACCTTCTTCCTTTGCTCGTCTTCATTCTCTTTGTTTGTGTGTTCTTGTGTTTATTGAGGAAATGATTGGCCTCGTGTATTGGTGTTTTCCACTTTCATTTTTCATGGACTTTGACAGAATTGACTCGACTTCCTCTTTCCATCGAAGAGAAAACCTGTTATTTCTCTCTTCTACTCACTTCTGTTCCCCTTATAGCAGTCTTTATGTATTGAACCCAGCTGTACTTCATCTCTTAGAGGCTCTGCCACTGTAGCACAGGAAAATTCTAGTAACAGGTTTACAAAAGCAAGATTTGTGTCACCTTGTGTGTCCAAATCCAGCTGTTTGTCTTAACAAGTGCATAAAGCTCCAGCTATTCCAAACATATATTTATTCTGATGCGTGTTTAAGAGTCTGAGTGTGTTATTGATTCATGCTGTTGATCTCTTTGACAGAATGTGTTTTTTGTTTCAGCAGCGGAACCTAGAGGGCTACGTGGGCTTTGCCAACCTCCCCAACCAGGTGTATCGGAAGTCTGTCAAAAGAGGGTTTGAGTTCACATTAATGGTTGTAGGTAAGTTGGAAACATCAACACCTTGACTGTAAGTGAGGACACTCATGTGCATGTTTGCTTCTATTGTGTGTACACCTGCCACTGCTGTGCGTTTTCCATTGCTGCGTGCATGAGTCATCAGCACAGGTTCAAAGACAGTAAAACATGTGCGGCATCCCATACATGTCACATTCAGCTGCTCAGGATGAAGAGTTGACAGTTTAAAAGGCAGTTAAAGGCTTCGAGGTGTTGTTCAGTGATGAAGAAAGTGTGTCTGTCACCTTAGTAAAAGATGGATTTCCACAGTTTCCCACAAGGGTTTTCTCACGTTCCTCTGGCCAGGACGCACAATGACACATCAGTGTGTTTTGGATGACTTCATTTGGAAAGTAAGCTGCAGGATGTCTGGTGCAAAATGTGGCTAACTGCATTACAGAGCAGGGGAAGTGGACAGGGGAGTGGTGGAACAATGGCTTGGATTGTCTATATAGATCTGAAGCAGAAGGTGGTCCACGGTTATTTTGATTGTAACAGATACGACTTTTACTTTTGTTGTTGTTGTAAATATGTCCTCCGTGTTTGTTCAGCTGTCACACATTTTGCTATGTATTTTTCACATAATGCTAAATATGTAAAAGGTCACTTTTTCACCAAGTTTTTTTCACCAGCCAGTGCAATCCTAACTCGGGCATATAATGGCACAACACAAAGATTCAGATTTGTTTCTACCGTGTGGCTAGTTTGCCGGCTACTATAACTTAGCTACACATCTGTCTGGCTGTAGGTGTTTTGTTGCTGATTCTTTTCTATCTTTATACTGATTCTCAGATACAATATACTGTGTATATACAGCAACAGGACACTAGAATATAATAACATGCAACAGCACAACAACAGTGCAGAATAATCATGTTTCTCATCACTGCCAGTCTTCAAAAAAACATCCACATGCCTTATCTGTGTGCTTCAGTTTCTCTTGTTTTGCATACTTCTTTGTCAGGAGTGTTAGTTTGTCTCTCTGCGTTCTCCAGCTTTATTACCCCATCTCTAACCCTAAAGTAAATAATACCATCTGACGTTAGTGCTTAGCTCTGTGTAGCCGAACTTCCTTATTTGGCCACAACAGGGAAATGAAACTTACAATATGAGTCGATCTTAAAGGAAAAATTCCAAAATTTTGGGAAACGCTCTTAGTGGCTTCCTGAAAAGGAATTGTCTTTAGCAGACTGAAGAATGGACTCATTTCTAACTCATAGTAACTAAAAGCAAGTCAATATTGGTAACCAATCGCTGTTGCTCTGTTTTGCTACTGATTTGACTTTTGGGGAAAAAATATTTCTTGTTGTGCTTTAGAAATATTCTTTGTTTTTGTCTTAAACTGAACAACTTTTAAAGAGGTCATAAATCTAACTCTGTAGCCTGTGGTGACCCCGAGCTGTTCAGTGAATGGAGAGAGACATTAACGCAAAGAGGCGTCCACTCATTATTGTCTCAGTCTGGGGTTTTAGTTTCCTGTTTAGTAAACAGCCACTGTGGAGGAGCAGTCGAGTGACAGTTTGGGAGAGGGCCACAAAGATCCACAATCAGCACCATCCTGTTTCAGGGTTTCTCACACGCGGGCCCCTCTGTCGCGTCTCAGATTTCTTAGCATGCAGCAGCATATAAATTTCACACATAACTAGCGAGCACGTTTTAAAGAGAAAGTTCAGTGGAAAGTTTCTCAGCTGCAGTCTGTTCCTGTATTCATCACACTGTTGTCTGAAAACTCTTGTTTTATTTAAACAGCACAGAGTGCAAAGACACTGATCACAAATTCTAGTACATCATGTTTTACCCGATTTATCAGGGTTACTGGTAAAAACTTGCATCATAATTATCATTTTTGAAATCTTAAAAAGAAAACACACAAAAAAGAAAAAAAATACATCTTATTAATACTGGCTAATTAGGATTCAGTTACACACGAATACTTGTTGGTTTTGGGGACGAGGCTCTGAAGGCGAAGAATCTTATCACAGGGAGGTTTTTGGTATGGTACTGCATACATGCACTGGAGAAAAAAAATGTGACAGGAAGGACCTGCTGAGACTCTGGATTAATCCATAGTGTTGCTGAAACAGCAACTAGTGTGTTTCTGTCTACCCAGATAAAGAGCTTAACGGGTTAAAAGTACCAATTAAATATGCAGGGCCACTTGTAATTGTGAAGTTGGCTCATGCAGCTTCAACACTTTTTGCAGCTTCTGTTGTTATATCTGTTAACATAATCAAACTGCGTTTTGTTTTGTTTTTTTGTCATGTTAGGCGTTTACTTTTGCTGTTACCCTGAACAGATTTCCAGAGCAGTAGGTTAAACATTTGCGTCTTTATCATAAAATGCGGACTCGACCAAATATGAGGCTCATAAAAGTCACGATCACAGAACAATGTATTTTAATGGAGAAGTTGCAGAGGGGAAAAAAAGGAAATACCAGTGTTAGAAAGAGAGACAGAAGAGCTGATTATGTTTTGACTTGACGAGCAGCCAACTGGAGCTACAGTCTAAGACTAAAGGTTGGCTTCAGTTCTGCTGTACTTGGCATTGTCACGAAGTGTGAAAGCTCAGCTGGCCTCTGAGGCCGTGCATTGTTCTGCCGCACTTTTGGAAAGACAGATGGTGAAATATTAGACGACTGGGCTGATGCCTGCAGCTCACTTGCTCAGATTCCAGTAGTGCAAGCAAACACTTGAGCTTATTGTTAAGGCTTGACCTTAGAAACAAAAATGACCCCCCCCCCCCCAAAAAAAAAGAATTTTAAGTAAATATTACACTCTTAATCTATTAAATGGTAAAAATGGTAAATGGTCTGTATTTGTATAGCGCTTTTCTAGTCCCTAAGGACCCCAAAGCGCTTTACACAACCTGTCATCCACCCATTCACACACACATTCACACACGGGTGATGGCAAGCTACATTGTAGCCACAGCCACCCTGGGGCGCACTGACAGAGATTTTTTTTTTTTTTTTTTTTTTTAAATGAAATTCAGTTTTTATTTTATTTATTTGGGGAATAAAGGAAAAATAAATCTCTCCTCTGCTCTGTTTCACCTTGAGTCTTTTTGTTTTTTTTTGTTTTTTGTTTTTTCCCCCCACAGATCATAGGAGAGAGGGGTTAAAATAACCTTACCCAGGTTAACAGCTATTTGTTACTTGCAATTTTTGATAAGATAAGACTTTATTGATCCCACAACAGGGAAATTTTTGCGTCACCTCAGCTCAGGTACAGACATCAGAAGGAAATACAAAAATTCAAATAAGTACAATCAATGAAAAAAAGTAAGATAATACACTATATACAATGGTAGCATACACAGTATGTGATTATGGATAT